CTTCGGTGCACCCCTACCTGGCGCGCCAAATGTCGGATATCGGGTTCCGGCAAAACCCTTAAGGTTCGAACTCTGGGGTGCGCACGAAGATCTTCTCCCTACCGAAACACGCCCAGAACCTCGCCGCGATTCTAAGCTAGCACGATGAACAACACAAGAGACATGAGGTTTATACTGGTTCGAGCCACCGTTGTGGTGTAATACCCTAATCCAGTGTGTAGCGTGGTGGATTGCCTCTTGGGCTGATGATGAACAGTACAGAGGAAGAACAGCCTCGCGAGGAGAGGTGTTCTTGTGGTGTGGATGAGCTAGGTCTCGGTCTGATTCCAGATGAGATCCCTTCTACTATGGTGGCTGGCTCTATTTATAGAGGCCCTGGTCCTCTTCCCAAATATCGAGCGAGAAGGGAGCCAACAACAGCCATTTTGAAAGGGGGCAGCTAGTACAAGCTATCCTGACTAAAGGTGGTCTTCGACTGCCAAAGGCACTGGTGATGACGCCGTCTTGGGCTCCACGGTGACCTCCGTCCTGCCGTCCTACTGGTCTTGGTTTCATTGCACCGATATGGAAACCTTTGCCTGATGCCTCGGTACTCCGCGCCTGTGCTTGCCCCCTTTTCACCAAAGAGGAAACGAGGATGTTATGCAGGCTGGCGCCCGCCTGGTCTTGATCGTCATGGCTTGCGTCATGAGAACCTCGCGAGGTACCCCTTGCCTTAATCTCTCCGCCTCCTCGCGAGCCTGCCTGGTGAGGCCGCCCCTGAGAAGGCCTTGCGTCATTTGCCCTGCGAGGCTTGGCCCCTCGCGAGGGTCTTGAACTTGGGTTGGTGAAGACGAGTCGTACTGGACCACTGTTGAGCCACGCTGCAGGCCGCAAGCAGGCAAGTCTGGGGACCCCCGTTCCCAGAACGCCGACAGGTCAGGCTAGCACAAGGTTGATAGACTCGCCTTGAGCCCGACAATATATATCATGTGGCAAAGGGAATGTAAGTGTGATGTACAGGTTCGCCACCCGGCTTCATAGTGTGCTTGGTGGTCGGCATGCCTTGCTAGAGGCCGCTACCAACCGAACAGTTCGGAGCTGATCCGAACTGTGCCAAGTCACTTGAACCTAAGGGGTCGCACGCTTAAGGGAAGGAACCTGTGAGGCCGGATCGGACTCCACGAGTCAGATGTGATCCTACTCGGACTCAGATCTCAGCCGAACAGATTTTGGGCTTTAAGGTCCGTGCGAGGCCCAAGTGTTGAGCCCGCGACATGCGCCTATATAAAGTGGAGGTGCCACGCATTCAAGAGGTTGATTGCTTCAGCGCTGTCACTAGGGTTTGCATGTGTTGTGAATAGCCACCTTCGCTCGTCGCCGATTGTGTGATCGGACCTAGCAGTCCGCCGCATGGTGTTCCTCCCGCACACGCGGATATCGTTAGAGGCGGTGCACCTGCGCCGCTCCGGCGAACTTGTACGTGGGATCCGACGACCGGCTGTTCGAGGGAGATCGGACGAGGAGGAGATGATCCACGCATACGCGTTGCCCCAACTCTTCTTCCGCTGCACGACACTGCACATCTAGTGGTAAACGATCTGTGATCCATTCCCGTAGCATGTTCCTGGATGTTCTGTGCGTAGAAAAAATTTATTTTGCCGTTAATGCACCCTACCGTAGAACCCAACAGCTATCTCCACCAAGAGGTAGCACTATATTATTTAAAGACCGTGTTTTTACTCCGCTAGATACTGCCATCACCCCCTCCAATTAAAATGGCTGATAAACAGGAAAAGTTGTTGAATGTATAGACCTTGTATGAGAGACAGATGCAATAGATAGTATGGAGAAAGGAGGGCGTGAAATAGTTCACATATATATTGTTTAACTAAAAAGGATAGCATGAAATAGTTCACATATATATTGTTTAACTAAAAAAGGATAGAATGACATAATTTCACATATATAATGTCTATCTAAATTGGATAGCATAACATGACATAATTCATAGATATGATGACTAACTAAACATGATGTCATGAGATAACTATATGATGTCTTTAGTAAATAGGTTCACATGACATAATTCACATACATGTTATCTAAGTAATCAGGATCGCATGATATAATTCACATATGTGATTTATATACTAAGCAGATGACATTCACATATATGATGTCTGAACTAAAAACATGGTGTTGAATATTGTGTATATGATGTCTAAACTATGCAATGCAAGACACCAAATGCATGATATGAGGATTATAATCATGCCAAGTTAGAGCATACACCTTGGTGGGGGAATATGACTGGTCATCTGTCTCTGAATCCATCTTTGAGGAGCTATCTGGACCTAGTAGGAGATCTGCTTCAACAGGTAGCACTGTCTACTCTAAAGACCTTGTTTTCACTCTTTATTTTTCCATCACCCACTCAAATGGCTTATTCACAGGAAGAGTAATTGAATATACAAACATTATTGACAAATGAAAATGTAATGAAGAAAAGGAATGGCAGGATATAATTCAAATATATGATGCCTAGCTAAACAGGATGATTGCATATTTCATATATATTATGACTGGCTAAAACAGATGAGATTGCATAATTCACATATATGATATAGAAACTAAACAAGTAGCATTACAGAACATGTCTAAACTAAGCATCTGACATATATGATGTTGAAAGTAAGCATTGCAAGGCAACATATGCATGATATGACCAACATCATCATGCCAAGTTAGAGCAAACACCTCGGGGGATAAAAAGGAGGGGTCAGCTCCATCTGAATCCGCCTCTGAACATATATCTTCCTCCGGATTACAATCTGGAGAAGGGGGGTTGCCATTGCACCCACCATGGAGCGATGTCTGCATGACATTGTCTTTCCGCGCAAAACTCTTCTCTTTTTCTCTACATGTTCAACATGACATTGTACAATATCTGACATGCATACGGAAAAATATAGTGAGGTTATGTAAAGAGAGCATGCAGAAAGCTAGAGTGATGGTAACAACTAGTGGATAAATCCAAAAATAATGATAGCAGGCTGATGATAGCTTCGATTTAATAAAAAGACATATGATGGTTGAATTACTGTTTGTTTCCCACCCAAGATAAACAACATAGCCATATCCTAGGTGAACGAGATAATAGACAGAGATACTATTCACTGCTGCCTCGATATGTGCCCCACAAGCATTTTATAATTGAAGGGAAACCCTTGATCTTGTTTGATCGGATGATGGCAATGCCTTGGTGTTGTATTCCCCCTTAGGGGCTTCTTCTTTGGAGCTGGGTATTGGCGAGTGGGATCAGCGGATGACGATGGTTTTGGCGTTGAGGTTTCTGTGGCAAGATGATGGGGAGAGCAATGTTGGAGCCGTGGCTATGGTTGAGGTGGTTGGCTATTCTCCGATGTGTCTACAAGATTGCCTCGGCTGGTTTGTTGCTGCGAAGTCAAAGCTGCGGTGGTGGGGCCCGATGGCGTACGATGACGGGCAACAGGTGGTTTGTTCGATGATCTTCCGCGGCACCAGCCATGCCCAGTTCTTATTCATGGTTCTCCTTTAGAGTCAAAGTTGCGTTGCCTAGTCGCAGGTGGCTGAGTTTTGGCACGGATCTTCATGCATCTCCAGACACCCTCTTCAGTGTGGGTTGGGTCGACGATCGCCTACGACGAAGTTGGAGTCGTTTGCTTAGGGTTTAAGGATGGTAATGACGTTTCTAGGGGAGGAGTGATGACAATGATGCCCGCGTGCTGTCTCGACGAGGCCCTCATTGGCGCGGTGTGCATGGGGTATCTTATGTGCGCCGCTCAGTGGTTGTGATAGATTTCGCCTGATTCTCCATAATTGACCAAGCAAACTGGTTTTTGCTCGGTTTTCTCCAATTAATTGAGCAATTCTTTTCTTCTTAATGAATGCAGGAATCCTGCCATTTCGAAAAGGAAAAAAATTATAGAAAAATCTAGGAGAAAGAAAATCATTATGTTTCGGTTCAAGAAAATACATCAGACCCAATATGCATAAGTTGTAGAGAAGAGGCCGGAGGTAAAGAGGGAAAGAAAAGTCCACGAGAAAGAAAATGTTAAAGGATTCCATATCTCGAATGTCCATCAATTCCATTCGCTCTGGCGGCAAGCAACCATGAAGGTGGTGACACACACAAGGTTCGACGAAGAAATTGATGAAGCGAAAGGAAGATAAATATAAATATGATAATTTCAATAGCATCAACGCAACCAATATTCGTCGACCCCGACCTCGTAGCGACATCATCGATTAGTCAATCGAGAGAGAACCCGACATAACCAATCACCCACTGGAGGGCGACGAATATAAGAAAAAGCACCGGAGGCCGAAAACCACTATTTGGCGAGAAAATCGGTCGGAAACAACAAATTAGATGGGTACCCGCCAATGCTCTGTTTTCGTTTGCTTCTGTTGAAAAATATAATAAACACCTAATTCTTTACATAACCCATGCGACGTTTCCACGGTGCATCATAATGACTTCAATTGCACGTTCAACATACCATGGTATCCAATCTACATGATGTAGTTCCATTTCTATGTTTGGGTTTGAATCATGGAGAGAATCAAAGGAAGCCCTAAAGAAGGCAAGGAAGCGGGCACATGGTAGGGCACAGCCGCACAGGAGGAGGCGATCCAGGGAGAGTGGTGGTGCGCGGTGCGGCAATCCCTTCTCCGCCCTACCTGTGCTTTGCGTCGCCATCTCCTTCCTTCCCTTCGTCTTCCCTTCCCTTCCCCAACTCAAGCCCGGCGCAGCACATACATACATACACATCGACTCAACTTCCCTCTTCCTCCACCGAAAGTCCAACCTTTTCGCTCCCAATCCACCACCCATCGCCCACCACCAATCCCCCCCTCTCCCTCGTTCGCTTGATTCGATCAGAGAGAGCCCCGCCCCCGCCACCGCCACCAGACCTCGACCAGTCAATCCCCTCTAGGGTTTCGCCTCTCGCGCCGCCCAATCGGATCCACCTCCAATGTGAGTTCGCCTGATCCCTCCGCCCCTGCGATTCCCCCATAATCTTCCGCGCAAATTTGGTTCAATCCGATCGGAAATTTAGGCCTCCCCTGCGTTTATTAATTTGATGTGTAATCCGATGCAATCCAGCTCGGAATTTCGGACCCTAGACGGCTTTGCGGATAGATTGGAGGGCCGATTTGTTAGAATCCCGCAGATTGACCTTACCCACGCGTTCGTTTTATGTGAATATTCCAGATCTCAGGCTTCCTGTAGCTATGGGATTGGAGCTATATGGATTTTGTTTTTGGCCCTCTTGGAAATTTGACGTTTCTGTGGGTTCTCCCCATGCTGGAACCGCAGGATGACGATGAGCGATGACGGAGACCGCACCTGCCCGCTCTGCGCCGAGGAGATGGACATCACTGACCAGCAACTCAAGCCCTGCAAATGTGGCTACGAGGTACTATCCTCATCTGTGACTCCCACCCTGCCATGCCTGCGCAACAACCAGGACGCTCTTTCATTGTTTTGTTTGTGTGTGTGTGTGTGTGTGTGTGCGACTCTGCAGATTTGTGTCTGGTGCTGGCACCACATCATTGACATGGCTGAGAAAGAGGACACAGAGGGGCGCTGCCCTGCCTGCCGCACACGCTATGACAAGGACAGGATTGTTAAGATGGCTGCCACGTGTGACAGGTAATCCCCGCCTCGAACTTTCACTTTATATGCATTCTCTGCCTCCGAGGGCTGCCATGCTTATGCCATCAACCGGAGATTCCTTTTCTGGATTAGTCAGCACGCACAAACTCTTTCCTCATGTATCACGATGATAGCCTTGCAACTTACTTTCATTCCATGGATACAGAACGGTAGCAGATAAAAATACAGACAAGAAGCAGAAGACCCAAAAGGTTAAGTCAAAGACACTGACTGTGGAAGCTAAGAAGCATCTGGCCAGTGTCAGAGTTATCCAGAGAAACCTGGTCTACATAATTGGGCTACCTGCAAATTTATGCAATGAGAGTGTGAGCACACTATTCTTTCCTTACATCTGGATTCTTTTTTCTTAGAGAAGTTTTGGATTCTGTTAGGCCTAGTGACACTGTAAATTGTATTTGTGACGCCAACATTACTATTATCCTTTGTTTTAGGTACTTGAGCGCAGGGAATACTTTGGTCAGTATGGAAAGGTTTTGAAGGTTTCAGTTTCTCGTCCAACTGGGGCTCCTTCCCAGCAGACATCAACAAACAACGGTATCAGCGTGTATGTCTACAAATGACACTAATGATCTTTTCAATATGCATACATATTGTCCGATGCTACAATCACATTGATATATCAAGTGACTACTATCCTACCTTTGTGTACTATATGGTGCCTGTAGCCTTTAATACCTGCCTGAGGTATATAATTTTTCATATGCGACTCAGAAAGTAAAGTGAGAGTTTGGTTGAGTATTAGGTGGTTTTCCATCAAAAGTAAGTTAAAATAATCTCTGATTCTAACATGACATGTCCTTGATACAACCCCGTCAATTTCAGGCTAATCTAATCTAAATTTTGACCGAGGGCTGCTAGAATTTTATAGTATGTGTAAAGAACATTTGATAGTTTTACAGGCCACATGAAAGATGTAGCTGTCTAATGTCGTAAAATCCAGGAATCTTTTATAATAAATATAGAAGTGCCTGTTTCAGTCTTGGCATGACTTTACTGACCAAATTATTTTGGATGAGACATTTCCCATGTTTACCAATGCCAGTTCAGTTATTGCTTCTGAAACTATCAGTTTCCTTAGGGTAGATTGTAGTTCTTCGGTGAGTACAAAGTTTCATGTTTGTTTTTGGGTACTCCATGTTTCTCTCAAGAGTCATATAGCACTGGCTTGATGTACCTAGTCATATGGTCCTAATGGTTTTAAAAATATGGAAAACGTGGACTTTGGAATAACTTAAGGCTGTTGAATGAAGTACACCTTTATTCAGTTTATATATCTATAATAACTCTTAGAAACAACAGAAGGCTTAAAGGAAACATCAGTTTTCCTGAAAATAAGGAGACCCACGAGTGAAAACTCTGGTGGACTATATGTCTATCATGTCTACTCAGAGCTATTTAGTAACTCACTCTTAATGGATAACCAATACAGATGTATGGTTCCTATTCTCTCCGTAATTGCGGACACCATTAGATGTGTTCAAATGCTAGCTCACTAGTTATTACTGTGATATGTGTTCAGATATATTACTTATGCCAAAGAAGAAGAGGCCATCCGGTGTATTCAGGCTGTACACAATTTTGTCTTGGAAGGGAAAGTGCTAAGGTTAGCCTTATACCCTGTCTCTTCTCTAGCTGTTTTGCACAATATTGTTATTTTAATGGTTTTCTATTGTTGCAGAGCATGCTTTGGCACCACGAAATATTGCCATGCATGGCTGCGGAACATGGTACAATTGATGCTTCATTCTGACAGCTTTTACCAGTACTCTACCTATTGCTATCTTTCTCAGTGCTTCGTCATTTTTTTTCTCAGACATGTGGGAATCCAGATTGTCTCTATTTGCATGATGTAGGCAGTCAGGAGGATAGTTTCACTAAAGATGAGATAATCTCAGCATATACCAGGTAACACTTGACTTCCTTTTAATTTGCAATGTGGAACCACAGTTCTTGTTCTGTTTGCTCCATCTGTTTTGCTCTAAGCATGCAAATCCTGGCTTATATATTTTATTTTATTTGCAGTTTTGCATTCTTGCTATATATATTTTTCTCTTTATTTTAGAAGAAGCTCCTGGCCTAGTAGGAAGTTTTGCCTCTCGATGGATTTGGATTTGGATGTCTATTGTTGTACTACTACTTACTTTTGGTAGTTTGGTTTCATATATGAGCTCTTGTCTCAGTTAGACATAATTAACTAAATTAGTAGATTCAGTTGTCATTTCAACTCATTCTCTGATATTTCTATCAGGAGTAGGGTTCCTCAAATGGCGTCTAGTGTTTCCCAAAGACGTGCAGGAACTGTATTGCCTCCTCCAGCAGAGGATTTCTCTTACAGTGCGGTGGTTTCAGCCAAACATACAATCAAGAATGGAACAACTGTATGTTTTAATATTGGACCATTAGAACATATTTTTTCTTGATTTCGTTCTGCTTTCCTACCTAGATATTTTGTTGATAATCTGTTTTTGTTGGTTTACACTATGTTGCTACACTAATGGCCTTCTTTTTCTGTGCAGAATACCACAGGCCAATCAAGACTGTCACCTCCAAACAGTAGTTCAGGGAGGTCCACGCTTCCACCAGCTACTTCATGGTATGCTTCCTCCCTAGACTGTTCTGCCACATTTAAAATGCAATGTGTTGCTAAATTTTGGTCTGTACAGGGGGCATCGTGATTTGAACACACGGACAACCGCGACTGAGGTGGCGTCCTCGCAATCTCTTACTAAATCAAAATCAGAGGCGCACAGTAATTCACTTTCAAGTTCTTCTATGATTTCGAATTCAAGACTACCTTCTTCATGGAATGATGATACAAGCACAGTACTGAAAATGACTGAAGGGCGGCAAGTATCAGAACGAGATAGTTTGTCTAAAACCTTGAAGCCATATAGACCTGGTATTGCAAAGGAAACCCAAGCTGTGACATCACTGGAGTCTTCGTTGGACATAGACTTTTCTACAATACCTTCAGCCTGGAATGATGATGAAATTGTAGCATCAGATGAGACTTCAAAAGGAAGTGAGGAAAAGCAAGTTGTAAATGGAAAGTTTATTCCTTCAGCATCCTCAAAACCAATGGAACCGGGCCAGATTGGGTCTAAGTCATCAACATCACCAAAGAATGGCGAAGCCGTAAACAGTTCCAAGCAAAATCTTGCAGATTGTGTGCCACATTCAGCAATGTCTGGTTCTGTTTTAAAGAGGGACGATGGTGACAGTAGACTTAGGGACACAGAAGTCGAGAAGTTGTCTGTTGGGGTAACTTCAGTAACTTTAGATAGCAAAGATACAGTTCATAGTATGGCAGAAAACCAACAGCTGGGTGCAGTTCCCGACACTTCCGTCGTGGTGCCTTTGAGTCAAAGTTTGAAGAAGGAACAATCTCATTTGAAGCTTGCTGGGCTTTCATCATCGGAAAATAAGGACCCTGTACTTTCTTGTCAATCTAGTTCTGATAAGCATCTTGACTGGAGCTCAGAGCTGCAAAGTTGTCGTGTGGCTTCTCCTTTGAATGACATATGGCATTCTTCTGTGGCCACTGATAAACCCCATGCCACTGCTAACACATCACATATTTCTTTGTGGAATGATAAAGAAATTAACCCTACTTTGACAAGTGATGGTAGAACTTCTGGCACCATGCTGCATACCAGGTTATCTTCAACTGACAATGCTTCTACCACGTTGAATGGACGTCAAGAGGGGCTAGGACCTATGCATACACCTGGTATGGTTTCTGAACATTCTGGTATGCGAAACCACCAGCATAGAGCACTGGATGCAGCAAGAAATGATAACATAGGCAGTTTTGGCAACACTGCAAGTGGAAATAAAGACGAGGGCAGCATAATTTCTGATATATTGTCTTTGGAGTTTGATCCATGGGATGAGTCGTATTCAACTGCAAACAATTTTGTTAAGATGCTTAATGAATCTGAAAAGAATGATGCACTTTTCAACGCACCTTCATGGAAATCAAAAGGCACCAGCAATGAGTCTAGATTTTCGTTTGCTAGACAGGATAACCAACGGAACTTCCAAGATTCATCTTTCAGAAATTGTGGCAGTGATCAGAATTTTAGCTTGCTATCCCAGAATTCTCATGGCAACAGCTATCAGAATGGTGTTGCATTCCAATCGCTGGAGGAAGATTTTTCAAAGAGCAATCCTCTTGCTATGTCAGATATAGCAACTGCTGGTGAGTATTGATACTTGCGTGTTCTATATTTCATTGAACAGGAAAGTATTTTTGTGCCGCAGTTGAAAGTTCTTTCTAATAGATTTGTATTGTGATTTATTTCAAATGTTGTCACCTGCATATTAAAGGAATATATGATGTGCACTGCAGTATTTTTTGTCGAGCATGGGTAAACATTGCAACTCATGCAAATAGGTTCTTAGTTATCGGTAATACTATATATTGTATTTGTGATTTTTATATATGTGCAATGGCTTGTTGCTGATGTGTTTCATTCGCAGGGTCTTCAAGGTCGAAAATATCTGCACCTCCTGGATTTGCGGCACCAGCTAGGGTCCCACCTCCTGGATTTTCATCTCAGGACGGGTTGAATCCCCCACCTGGATTTTCTTCAGGATTCTCATCTCAGGATATGTTGAATCACCCTCATGGATATCCTTCGGGATTTCCATCTCAGGCTGGATCTAATCCCCCTCATGGATTTTCATCTCAGCATGGATCTAATCCCCCTCACGGATTTTCATCTCAGGCTGGGTCGAACCCGTCTCGTGGATTTAATTCTGGATTTTCATCCCAGGATGGGTCTAACAATATTCCTCCTGGGTTTTCTTCTGCGTTTTCTGCTGGGTTTTCATCCCAGAATGGGTCTAACCAGGCGTATGGCTCCACATTCTCAGGTTTGTTTACTTACCCTATCTTTGTTGCTTCTCCAAAACCAATAATAATTTCAATTTCTCATACATTTGTGATGCTTGGCAGAAACTCGTCTACTTGATAATCTTTTTGGTAGCCACACCAATCAATATCAACCTCAGATATCTAGACACACGAGTGACATAGAATTTATTGATCCTGCTATATTGGCTGTGGGCAAAGGGCGGATGCCAGGAGTTAGTGATTCAGGGTTGGATTTGAAAAACGCTCCTTTTCCAGCACAATTGCAGACATCAAATAATGATCCAAGACTTCAACTACTTATGCAGCAGAGCATGCCCTCTCATCAAAACCTCAGATATACTGACCATGTTCGAGATGCATTCAACCCTATTCAGAATGATAATTATCTGGCATCCCGACTTCTGCCACAGAACCATGGTTCTCTATCCCCTTATGCACAGATGTCACTCCAACAACCTAGAAACTCACAGCTTGCAAATGGTCACTGGGATGGCTGGAGTGATTTGAGACAGGGGAATAATGTTCCCATATCGGACATGTCGAGGATGTTATATCCAACTGAAGCTAACAACTTTCACATGCTGGGTTCAAATGATATGTATAACAGAACCTTTGGACTTTAGTTGTCTTTGAAGGTGAATATTGACCTCTCCGCGTCTATTTTGGGCGTGTCTCTTGTTCTGAAAGTAACTGGTTGCACAGTGCTTGTCTAATGGTTGTGCTTATGAGCTGGTACGTGAAAGTTCTACTGGAAGGCAGTTGATGCAAATGGGCCGACACGATCCTGAGTTTGAACTAGATCTTCCAAGCACAAGGTATGTGTTCACAACATTTTATCCACCAATTTGATATACTTGTGTGCGTCCCCTTTTTTGTCCTTGTGTAATTATTATTTTGTTTTGTGTGGTGTTGTGAACGTTGCTGGATGTGCCGGCACATTAATGATCGCTGTTTTGTTCCCTTGCTTGGTCATCAATCAGGTTCCTTTCTAGGCGAAGTCATACATGAACAGTTGGTCCTTGAAGTATATGGATACATATGGTTTGGGTGCGATGGAACTGGCTTGAGAAGAGAGACACCGTTTAGCGCGTATGTTCTATTTCGCCATAGTAGCTGTGTAAATGTTTTCTTGCCTTGGGGATTCGAGAGACTCCTTTGTACATGATTTGTAACTTGCCGCTGGTAGGTCTTGTGGTGCATAGAAAGCTCATGTTTTGGTGTGGGGTTTGTTGAATCAAAAACTGAAAGCAAATGTGACAATCATCTATAGCTCAACTGACAATTGTTTGGCATCAAACTGAAGGTTTTTGACTACATTTGATGTTTGTTACTAGCTGTAATGTGTTTTTCTCAAGCAAGCTTTTTGGATCATCTTATTAGTAACAATCGACATGGCTGTGTTAGTTTTGAGATGAACATTCCTCTGCCGTCGTGAAATTGAATCCAGCAGTTCCTGTCTGCTTGCCCCCCTACCCTACCAAGGATGACATCCTAACAGTTTGAAACCAATACGAAGAACAACAAGGAAAATAACAGTTCCAGATCGCCAATCTTTCACCATCAAATTCCCAATTTGTACTGCAAGCTAAAGCTAATGTCATCCACAGCTTTCAAATCATTAGCAGGAAAAGTAAAGCCTAACTAACACATGATCCTTGCCTCCTCCTTGCTTACACGAAAAGTGTCTCTTGATGAATCCTGATTCTACCTGAGGCCTGGCCGCATGAGCATTTCATCAAACGACGCGTTCTGCTCCAGATCCACACTGTTGTCGGTGTTGATCGAGACAGAACCCATGGACCTCTTGGACATGAGCTGCTGGACTTGGGGTGCCTCCCGCTGCACCTCGATGGCGATGGCATCCTGGATCTCTTTGAGCACCTCGGAGATGGTTGGCCTCTGCGCGCCCTTTGGCTTCACACACATGATGCCCACCTCCGCGATCTTCCACACCGACTGCAGGTCGTAGCCGGTATCCAGTGATGCATCAATGATGGCGTCAATGTTCCCACTCTCAATGTGCGACCTAGCCTGCCAATTCCAGTTCATTCATCGGCAGCATTGCTCATCAATATCAGCTTAAACCAAACGCAGAAAGCTAACAGGTCGCAAGATACTTACCCATGCCACAATGTTACGGCAGTTGAGCCCAAAGTTATCACTAGAGATCGGCTCGTGGCCAGAGATTAGCTCAAGTAGGATGACACCAAAACTGTATATGTCACTCTTCTCTGTTAGCTGCTGGGAGATGTAGTACCTACTCGTCGCCATCAAAAGAAGAAAAAGAAAATTATACCTCAGATGCTACCAGGATAGCAAACACTTCAAATCACTAAACCATGGCAAAGAGAACAAACACTATGAGCTCAGGAAAGATGGTCTTACTCTGGATCAAGATACCCAACCGTCCCACGAACTATGCTTGATACATGAGACCCATCGACTGCAGGTTTTGATAGGCCGAAGTCTGCGACTTTTGCCCGCATGTTCTTGTCAAGTAAAATGTTGCTACTCTTAACATCTCTGTGAATTATGGTTGGAGAGCATCCCGTATGGAGGTACTCTATACCTGATATTTGCAATATTCAAGACAAAAAAAGAGAGATTCAGAATCTTCAGATTGCATGCTAGTAGAAGAGTAGGAAGGAAACTGAGACAGACCTTTCGCAGCATCTTCTGCTATCTCAAGGCGCTTAACCCAGCTAGTTATTTTCACATCATTAGGTCCTCCTGTGAAACATCGTCATAATTCAGAGGTTTAATATTTTATATGTTATTCTATTCTATGGGGTAAGGAGCACATTAATCTAACAGTTCATGTCGGTCCTCGGCTCAAGTGTGAAGAATAGACCTCAAAATTTAGATACTTAAAAAAACTAAATTTTCTGTGTACTACTGGAATTACTTAATGATACTTAAAAAATCAGCAATGTCAGGCCTGGCGGCCTGTCCACACAGAACAAAAAGCTGATCTATCCTTAAAAAGAAGCTGATCCAAGTACAAGTTTGAGGTCAACCAACTAAACATCTGTACAAGATCCTAAATACAGTTGCCCAGACAAAGTTTTGCCGCTAAAGAAACATTAGGTGCATATGCCAACAGTATGCTGTTGATCCCACCAAACAAAATTAACATCAGCTAAGGGCACTCACCACGAAGGTGCTCCTTTAGTGTTCCATTGTGCATGAACTCGTACACAAGTATGTTCTTCCCGTCTTGTTGACTGTAACCAAGGAAGGTTACCAAGTTCCTGTGATGTATTCTCGAAAGCAACGCCACCTGAAACAATAAGCCAGCTAGCTCATCAGGACAACATCCGGAAGAAAGAAATGCATGAGCATATGGTATATCTTGCATGCAATGGTGCAACCACATCATGACATGGATGTTCAGTAGACCTTTACAGCAGACTATAAGAGGGATGTGTAGACACAGAATGCAAGGATATTTAAAAGGCAAGCGCCAGGCACCGAAATTGCAGAAACATACAGTGGTGACATACAGAGAGAAGTATAATTGAGGCAAAAATTGTCACATGCTTACAGCACATTAACAAGTCATTAGATTAAGAAAAAGTAGCATGGTCGACTTATCAGGTTCTTGCTTCACAACAGGGCGTCGATCTACAAAGCCATACTAAAAGCAGAAACAAGTAAACATGCTGTGTTTATGGCTGTGTGCATCAAGAGATGCAGAGGCCGGGGGTACGCCTCCTTTTCGAAGAAAAAAGTAAACATGCTGTGTTTATCTCTTCAACGGTGAAAAAGGTATGTACGGCCATAGAGCTACACTTGGAGTAGAAACATAAACAGGGCTAAAACAGAAGCAGACCTCATTCAAGAATTCTCGGATGCCCTGATAGGAGTCATTTGTGAGAAGCTTGACTGCGATCTCTCTCCCATCTGCCAGCTTTCCGTAGTATACTATGCCAAACCCTCCAGAGCCGATCCTCCTCTCAAATTTGTCAGTAGCATCTTCAATTTCTGATAAAGCAAATCTGTGCGCTGTTTCTGTAGCTACTTCACTGAAATATGACCCTAGCCTTTTCGCTGGTGCTGCAAGAACAACAGTTTCTACAAAATGGCAAAAATAAATCACTGCATGTTCTTACATAGTACCAGAAACATCCACTGAGCTAAAGAACACATACCACGTGAAGGTTTTTTCTTTCTCTTGTGTGTACACAAACAGCATCCAATAGCAATCGCAAGTAACAAGATGGCCCCAACCACCGCACATACGATGATTATGATGGTGCCGCGGCTAATACTATCACTTGGCCCCTGAAGATTATTGCCTGACGAGCTGCAGCAGGTAAGAAATTAGAACAGAAGGAACATCCTAAAGAACACTATCATTGTGGCTAATACTATTGCTTGGCTCCTGAAGGACCATTGTTGCTCTCTACGTATGTTACCACTGTATGTCACAAAGTGAAGCTTGTCCAGCCACAGTAGTGTTCTCAAGCACAATATTACACATTAATTAATCTAAAATATGCTAGCTACATCTGCCTAAAGAGAAAGTACTGACTTGAAAATAATGCTCTTCTTGGAAAGTGCCCTTGGAATATGTCCGGAAAGCCTATTGTTCTGAATATACCTGCAATGGTTGGGAATGAGTAAGTGCAGAAGTTCTATTTTTGTAAAGACTCTTGATCAAATGCATTTATACCAGAAAGATAAAATTAATAGCATCGACAAAAATTTGAGCACAGAACATCAGGAAACAAAGAGAGGAAGGACAGTCTGGACCACTGGATCAACTTCCATTCTCCATAGTAAGGGGTGGATAAACTAAGTGCACAAAATTATGAAGAACTTACAACTCTTTGAGGTTAGGTAGTTCTCCCAAAGAGGATGGCAGTGCACCATTTAACTGATTGTTTTCGAGGTGACTGCATATATATGAAACCACGTTGGATTAGTTCAATATAAAATTATAAATCCTGCAGAATGCTGCTCTATGACAAAAACTGCAAACTCACATATACTGCAGATTTCTGCATCCACTAAAATCAGGGATTCCACCAGAAAATGAGTTGCCATCGAGTCTTCTGCATTTACAGAAATAAGTAGATCAGACAAGAGAAAGCAAAAAAATGGATGGAAAGAATGAACCATCTGAGCTTACAACTCGACCAAGGCGGATAACTTTGTCAACTCCTCAGGGATACTTCCTGTGATGTTCTTCTCTGACAATGTGCTGTGAGGGACAATTCTTAGGTTTTAATACAAGGAATTAATCAATAAATCCAAAGTGAAGGCAGAATTGCACGATTAAATTTACCATACATTGAAAGAACTCTGGGTGCTGCTTCTGAACTGCATTGCACCCAGGTCCATGACACTGGTAAGCATGGATCACCACCCTCTTGCGCCCAACCTGCTTGAGGATACCGTGAGGCCAAGCTAGACATGGTGTTTGCTGTCAATATTATGGAACCACTCAATTAGTCAAAAAGTTTCTTTTTTTCACATGAGAGAGAGACTACACAGTTAGCTTGATCGGAAAAAAACATGATAACAACAATGTGGACAAGTGCTTACCATCTTGAGATCCCATGGTAATCTGAACATGTTTGTAAATTTCCATAGCATTCAAAATAGGTCCCTTTGAAGA